CACACACACACACACACACACACACACACACACACACACACACACACACACACACACACACACACACACACACACACACACACACACACACACACATCACACACATCAACGCACATCCTGACATGTGTAAGCCGTTGGAAAATTGCTGTAACCGTCAGTTTTGAATATATAATATAATTAATAATAAATAGAAAAAATAGATACACAAGTAGATTTTTCTTTTTTAAGAAATAATATATGAGAATCACTAATAATAACTTCTATTAATATCATGAGCACAAAGCACACAAGCAAATCTCGACCTTAGAGTCGTACCGCACAGAACACAATATCTAATCACCTGCTCCCAACAGATCTTCCCTCGTCGCTCTTTATCTCTGTCTCTCTCGTTCTTCCGCAGAAAATTATCTCCATTGGACTGCCTTCCCCTGTGCGTCTACATCATCACCACAGCGAGGTTTCCGAGTTTTTCTTTTACACGTTAAAACGACGCAAGAGGAGAGACAACGCAAGCACAGTCACCCAGAACGTCATGACACACACCGCCTGCCCGCGCCACCCGAGCCACCACGTGTTTGTCTTCCCTGTAACAGCCGCTCAACTAACTTCACTTATCACTGGCGAGTCCTACATGGCCGCGGTCTCTCTACATCGAAGCTATCACTCCCCCTCATCACCCACGGCACGGAACACGATCGATATGCACATCACAAGCCAACGCCTCCTTTCCCTGCTCGTTCGCAAAGTGTCCGCATCCTTCGTGTGATTCATACAAACGGACTCCCTTCACGCTGATGAATGAACCATGGCTGCTTCCCCGACGCTTCCTCGCCTCCCACTGCCTGGCCTTCCCTCACAGCCCGGCCAGGAGAACGTGAGTGACCCAGGGAGGGAGTCGACAATTTCCTCGACGCTGCCGGAAATTGCTGGGTACAAGAGCTACCTCTGATATTGGTGATAAAGGAGAAGGGAAAAAATGACGGAAGACAAAGAGAAAAAGAAAGAGCGAGAGAGAGAGAGAGAAAGAGCCACTTGTGCAGAGGACTTTGTGTCTGTCTTAATATAGAGGGAGTGGGATAAGCATAGAGGGAGAGGCTCCGCGCGACTCGACCGCCCGCGTGTTTGTTTCATCAAGACAGCGTTTAGACTGGTGATACACATACTGAGGGGTAGCGTGTGTTTTAGGAGGGAGGGAGGGGAGGCGAACGAGGAAGGGGAGGGGAGGGGAGAGACGTGGTGCCTAGGGTGAGTCAGAGGTAGTGATGATGATGATGATGATGCCACGGCCGGTGACGGTGCTTAAAGCAGTGATTTGAAGCTATGATAAAGCTGTTTACGACGCTAAGACAACCATGATTATGCCAGAAAACGTGATAAATTTGTTATTACAGTGAAGTCGGCAGAAATAACTTTTAAGAGAAAATTTTAAAATGTGCATTTCTTGCGACTTCGACCTTTTGGTATGAAGAAAAAGAAATGACATTGAAGCTGCTTCTTCTATTACAAATGTAGCTAATTTAATTTCTCCGACGGTTGGCGCTCCTTTGCTACTAGAATTGCACTTGCATCTGTCGATGTTGCTCGCATAACTTGCATTCTGAGACGTTGCACTCGTCTGTGTGTTCGAAGGATTGTATTTTATGTTCGGTATTAGCGACTCGTTGTAGTGCAAGCGACATCAGACAATACATATTTAATAAACATTAACGCATTCAATAACCTAAAAAAAGAAAAACAAAAGAGTGATTCAATTTCACGCTCTCTATCTGGGATAACTGTGAAAGCTAAGATATTTTTCCTTCTTTCAACTTGAATTAGGTATTAGTGATAAAAACTTATGCGATCATCGGACCAGTGCATGCGGTAGGAATGTTTTATACAGACCATTAGAGAGAGAGAGAGAGAGAGAGAGAAAGAGAGATAGATAGATAGATAGAGAGAGAAAGAGAGAGAGAGAGAGAGAGAGAGAGAGAGAGAGAGAGAGAAGAGAGGAGAGAGAGAGAGAGAGAGAGAGGAGAGAGAGAGAGAGAGAGAGAGAGAGAGAGAGAGAGAGAGAGAGAGAGAGAGAGAGAGAGAGAGAGAGAGAGAGAGAGATAGTGTATCTCAACACAGAGGAAAATGTTAACCAAACCCGCATACATGATATGAAAGTGAATTGATATGAAATAAGAAACACAACTCTACCAAAGGACCAAATATTTAGACTCTCTCTCTCTCTCTCTCTCTCCTCTCTCTCTCTCTCTCTCTCTTTCTTTCTCTCTCTCTCTCTCTCTCATTCTGTATCTATCTATCTATCCGTCTCTATCTCTATCTATCTATCTGTCTATCTGTCTATCTCCCTCAATCCCCCCCCTCTCTCTCTCTCTCTCTCTCTCTTTCTCTCTCTCCCTCTCTCTCTCTCCTCTCTCTCTCTCTCTCTCTCTCTCTTCTCTCTCTCTCTCTCTCTCTCTCTCTCTCTCTCTCTCTCTCTCTCTCTCTCTCTCTCTCTCTCTCTCTCTCT